GGGGGGGGCTGGGAGTTTTCCATGGGGGTATTTTTAGGACCAACATAATATAAAACAAGTGCATATATTTTCGGTATAAAATAGGATGAGTCCATGACACTCGTGGAAGTTTTAGCTGTCTTCGTTTTAGCTAATTCTTCCCAATCTCAGAACCTCCTGGTTTCCCCCTTTTCCACCACGTGAGCCCACTGGGGTCTCCCGTGTTGTGGAGTGGTGATGGGAGGGGCTCTGCACTGGGATCCGGGTTCACAGCTTTTTCTTTTTAAGATTTATTTATGCATACAATAACTGGGGTGCAGGCTATAGGTGTGGGGGGTGAGAGGGTTCACCGGAGACAGACTGGGGAGCAGAACAGGCAGATAGACTGAAATCCACTGCTGAGGGGAGCAGGGTGGGTCGGGAAAGGTCTGCCATGGCATGTGGGTCAGCTCCCCCAGCCCCCAGCTGGTGCTGCAGTGGCTGCTGAGCCTTCCCAGCGCCGAGCTTTAAGCCACTGGGCCACCAGGGCCGGCCCAGGGTTCACAGCTTTTACACGAGGGCTGCAGAAGATGCTTCTGTTTCTGCTGCTGACATCTGCTGTGAGTTTTCCTGTGTTTGTATTTTGGACCTGGTCATCTGAGTAGCCCTAGAGCTGGAGGGGCTGGGGAGCTGGGAGAGGAGAGCGGATGGACCCTGAAGGTGGAGCTGTCTGGGGCTGTCATTGCCGCAGGGTTCAGCGCTGCTCTGAGGTTCCCCGTGGCATGGGCACAGCAGCACCTGCTCTGATGTCACGTCTTAGGGCAGAAGCGACCAGGCCGGGAACTGTTGGCTTCACTTCAGTTCCTTCTCTTCCCTCACTGGAGTGTGCCGCCTTTCGAGTGTAAAAGTAAAGAATGCTGGTTGCTTTCTGCTCCAAAATCAGTGTAGCGGAGGCTGGACGTGGAGTGGAGCCAGTGCTCACACGCTTTTCCCTGCCCCAGAAGAAGTTAGGGTGCATGGGGACAAGGCGGGACAGAGCCAGAGGGGTGCATGGCTGCCCACCCGCTGCTCCCTCAGCAGCGGACTTCATCAGTTGGCCTCTCCCGCTCCCCGCTCTGTCTCTGGTGAATCCTCTCACCGCCCCTGCACCTCTGGCCTGTGCCCCAGTTCTGTATGCACGAATGAATAAATCTTAAAAAAAAAAAGACCTTTATCCTTCACTTTCCTCTTTTCCTAGGGCCATATTCTTTGAACATGTGTCTGACATTTAAAAAAAGAAACCAGCTCATAACCAGAGATTACAAGGTGTCTTCTTAGAAGGTACCTCTGTCTAAAGCACTGAGTTTCTTAGTCTCTTTTGCCCTCCATGTGTCTGTTTTGCACCCCTTCTCCTAGATTCTCTGACTTCTCTCCTTTCTCGTCCCTCTGAAGGGATAAGTTGCTTCTTTTCACTGAGAAGCCGGAGCTGCCCCGGGACGGTCTTCCCGCTGCTCCCCCAGGTCTGGCCTCCGCTCATCTTCCGCCGACTCACTCTTCTCCTGCCTCAGGTGTTGGATTCTTGTTACCCACTGTGGTTGCGCTTCAACCCCACTCACCTGTTCAGTAACTTCGCTCCTGCACTTACCGGTTTCCATTCCGCATCATTCGACCCCCTCTCCTGGGTCATTTTCATCAGCACATAATTCTTTGAAAAATGCAGGAACTTCCTACTCTCTTCTTTTTTTTTGTATAGAACAACTGCGGTACGGGCCGGAGGTGTGGGGGGAGAGGACTCACTGGAGACAGAGTGGGGAGCAGAACAGGTGGATCCACTGAACCACTGTTGGGGGCAGCAGCGGGGAGACAGGAGAGGCCTGCTGTGCCCTGTGGGTCACTCCCTGGCCGGGATGGATCTCAGGCCACTGTGGTGATAGCCCGAGACTTCACCACAGGCTACCAGAGAGGTCCCCACTCTGTCCTGAAGGCAGAACTTCTCAGTGTTCCCTGTGGGCTCAGTTCTCTCTGCCTTCCTGTTCCCTCTGGGCTCAGTCAGCATTCCTCCCCTTATGCAGCCGAAAGTGTCCCCAAGGTGGCTGGTGTCCTTCGTCCTGTGACACACGGGGCCTCTCAGCCCCACCCTGTTGTGACGTATGGACACGCTTCACGCCTCTGTGGGTTTTCTTTCTCCTTACCTACCTCTTTCCTAATCACTTAAAGTCACGATTCCCCAAGCTCTGTCCCAGGCTATTTTCTCTACACAGAATCACCTTTAGCAACAGCAGCTACTTTTGGGGTCTTAAGCGTTACTTCCATGCTGAAATCTTGCAAACAAATGCTTCAGAGCCTGGCTGCCATCTCAACCTCCTACGTGAGATCTAGCTGCATGCTCAGGCTTCCACTCAGCTGTAATCTATACACCGCAACGTTAACATGTCAAAACCAGAGCTCTTTTCTTAATACTTTTTTGTTGTTGTTATTGAAGAGCACTGGAAACCAGCTCTCCTGATCCCTCCCATACATATGTATTTACTCTCTGTCACTGGCTACCTTCCCTCAGCTGTTCCAGCCAGAAAGCTCATTCTAGATTCTCTTTTCTTCTCATTCATCAGCTAGTCTTGTGAACTCTACCTGCAACATCTGTCTAGAATCTGACCTTTAAGATTTACTTATTGATGCATACAGAACGGGGGTACAAACCAGAGGTGCAGGGAGGTGAGAGGATTCACCAGAGACGAGTGGGGAGCAGAACAGGCAGACTGACCAAGTACACTGCTGAGGGGAGCGGTGGGCGGGTCAGGAGAGGTCTGCTGAGCCATGTGGGTCAGCTCCAGGGTCGGGGGGGGGGGGGGGAACTTGCACCAAAGTGGTGGCTTGCAGTGCTGCACTTTAACCCTCTGCACCACCAGAGAGGGTCGGATATGACCTTTCTTACCTCTTTCTTGTATCGCCCCGTGACCCCATACTCTTCTGCTCCTGGGTTTCCCAAGAACACTGCAACAGGTCATTCTCTCAGTTGATATGGGGCCATGTGTGGCTACATTTCCAGAAGGTTCGGGTCCTTCCAACCCCAACAACTTTCTAAATCAGCACACTTGATTTCCACATTCTGGAGAAGGAAGAGCTTTACCACGTCTGTTTGCTTTTCCAATTTAAGTGCAAAAGCTGCCCCCTCAGAAAGGAATTTTTAAGTGTGAAAATACTTAGCATACCCTAATTTTTATCACATCAATCAGGTCACCTCTCTTTATTACAACAAAGGAAATGCCCGGCCCGGCATGCCTGCCACCATTGGTGCAAAGAAACTGGGGTGGGGGTGGGGGGGTGGAGGAGTGGAGGGGTGGAGGGGGTGGGTTTCCTATTGATCTTCCACCTTGTCTTGCTCTTTCTGTGTTTCACTGAATGGAACCAATGGGAAGGGCAGCCAGCCTGGCCCTGGGCTCTGTGGGCACAGGAGGGCTGGCGCCAGAAGGAGGGAGCACTGCAGAGCCCCCCCATCCCTCCTGAGGGCACTGGGGTCACCAGGTTACACTAACATCCAGCCCCCTTCAAATGTTCTTGTTCTCGAATACACCAAACCCAAACAAAGCATGGCTATGGGCATGGTGGGTGATGCTGGATAAATGCCATGGAAGCAGCCACTGCGAGAAGATTCGGGAGCACACGGGGAAGGGTGAGGAAGTCTCCATGTTTACAGTGTTCAGCAGCAAGAGCTCGTGGGGAGTCTCTATCAATGATGGTGCCCGTTGAAAAGTCATCTGGGGACTTGGAACTTGGAGGGCACAATGGCCTTGTGCATACCTTAGGCCATGGTGGCCTCGCCCAGTCTCGACCCCAGGCCCTGGCGAGTGTCCCAGACTGCAGAAGACCGTCTCAGGGGCTCTCCCAGAGAATGCTCGGCGTTGGGCACCAGGCGGCTTGGGGAGTGGGCCCAGGCGTGCAGGCCACCTTGTCTGGGCACATGGTGTCATGTCAAGTGTGCAAAGGATTTGAGCACAGCCCGTGGGCAGAGACTGGCTGCAGGAATGGGTGGATTTTAGATGTGCTGGTTGCGGGTCACTTTGGTATGCTGTTCACTGGTCAGCTGTTGAAGCCTGGGGGCAGAGGGGGGTTGTGTCTGTGGTCACGTGAATGCAAGCCTGGCAGGAGTTAGCAAGGCTCCCTCCCAGAGCAGGCGCTAATGCAGCAACGGAGGAAGTCGGTCGACCAGTCTCTGGTGTGTGGCTATTTGGAAATGAACTGTACCTGAACTTAATAATGCATACAAACTGTATGTATATTATAGCTTTATAATGTTCCTATAAATTAATTATATAACGCAGTAGCTATAAATTAGGTAGTACCGTCTATATAATTTTAGCTCATAATGTCTATATATTGTGCTATAGAATACATCTACAGGTTCACTATGTACTGCCGTGTCCCTAAATTCACTATATCATGTTGAACCTATAAACTAACATGCTATACACATCGGTTATATAACATATCTATAAGTTAACTATATAACACACCTCATGTTAGGTCTGTATGTTAACTTTGTAATGCCTATCAAATATATAGATGCATACTTTTATAATGTTTCTATAACTTAACTGCCTAACACTGAATATGTCACTTTACGTTGATGTTGGATCTATACATCAGCTACGTAAATTGACTCTCTACCTATAAATTAGCTACATGATGTATCTATAGTTTGGCTGTATAATGTGTCTGTAACTAGGTGACGTTGGATCTATAAATTAACTGCGACCTTGCAGATGTAGCACTTTGCTTCAGCATGTTGCTCCGTACACTGCACAGCGCTGAGGTCCCAGCCACTGGAGCTTGCATCCGAAATGAAGTCAGGTCTTGAGCTGACCAAATGTTGCTGTGCCCGTGGGCATTCACACGCCTGCCCCTTTCCTCCCAGGGGAAGCCTCTGGGGCAGGACCCACGGCTGCCCCGTGTCGCGGGCAGGACGCGGGCCTGTCTGGGGAGGGCGCACGGCTGTCCCTAACCGTCTCTGACCTCCCCTAGCTGTGCATGTCCGACACACTGTGGGAGCAGATCGTCCAGCTGGCCTGTGACAACATCACCTCGGACATGAGGGCGCTGGCCATGGACATCGGCTGGCGGCAGATGTTCTTCACCAGCAAGCTGCAGCTGCGGCGGCAGCTTCGCCTGCGGACACAGAGCAGGAAGCCAGGACAGTCGTCTGAGGAAAAGCTTTCCCTCCCTGCAGCAGACGGGAGGCAAGTGTGCCCCAATCTTTGCCTCCTTTGACTCAGAACTCCAGTAAAAGCAACACACGGAGCTGTTGTGATTTCTAGTTCAATGGCAGCAAATCTGAGCATTTTATTTACAAAATAAAAATAAATTTTGCTTAACTGTTCTACCCCACTGCTATTCTTGCTCTCGTCCCGGATGGGTCAGCATAGCACGTGCATTACAAGTGGGTAAGTGGGACCTGAAATGTTTTATTCTACTGAGTGGGCTCAAGAATTTAGGGTGACTGTGATTAGGGGGAGGTGTGGGAAGCAGGGGCTGGGACACTCACTAGTCACCACTTGTCTTTGCTTTCGGGGGAGCTTGTGGACAAGACAGTTATCAGCCCTCCTTCCTGGCCCCCCAACATGCAGAAGAAGAAAGTAAAGCAACCTTATTAAAAACGGAAAACACATGCCATGTAGGTTTTTGCTCTGAGCTTCAGTCTGAGGACCCTTCAGTTTTGCTAAGACATTGTGACAGGGGATCCAGGCTTCTCAGCCCAGAACAGTTGTGTTTGGCTGGCAAACGATGCTCTGATTGCATAGTAACGAGGTAAGTAGACAGGCCACCACCACCATGCTGAAGAGGAATGTGCATCCGTTGTTAAAAATATTGGTACAACACTCAGTTCTGGCTGGGTCCTCTAACAAAGTAGAATCAAGGGGCCTCTCTGGTGGTACGGGGGTGAGTCTCAGCACTAGGAAGCTGTCACCAGGCCCTGCGGCCCGAGGTCCATCCCCGGCCAGGGAGTGACCCACATGCTGCAGCAGACCTCGCCTGTCTCCCCGCTGCTCCCATCAGCAGAAAATGCAGAGGCCACTGGAATACACATAGGCTAAGCAATGAAGCTGAACTGGCCGGAGATAGCCGTGGGGCCCACCGCCGACCTTGGGGGTGCCTGCTGGGTGGTGGCAGTGTGGGTGTTGTGCTGATGGTGCAGAATTGACATGGGTCAAATGGCTGGTGCCTTCCCACAGATCAACAGTGACCCCAAAAGCTTCTGGAAGTTGCTATGTCCTTCATGGCTGTGCATGTGTCTCCACTTGTAAGTAGCATCAAGCAGCCTCAAGTACTTAATCTCCACTTGATGAAACTGGAAATGATTGCCTTTGTTGATTGTCTTTACGGCTGAGCTCCCACCTCGTCACTGCTCTGGGTGAGAAGACCCCAAGTTGGGAAGAGTGTATGGAGCCGTCCCACAGTGCCGACGGCTGGCAAACACCAGTGGACCCGAGTCGCCAACTGCCCCTGCTCGCCTCGTCAGACGCCATGTTTATGTCTGGTGCACATGTCGAAAATGAGGTAGTCACTTCCAGGAAAATAACGGCCATCACCATTACAGCTTTTCATAAAAACATTGACACAGTAGGCTCCTTTTTGTTATTTTAAATTGAAGTGATGTAATTAAAAAGTCTCCCAGTTTTGTCTTATCCTATGATAAATAGCAATAAGAGAGTCTACAAAACAAGAGCTTTGCGTTTTCACTGGTTTGTAGAAGGGTAAAGGGGACCCGAGCCCCAAGGGTGGGGGAACTTAGGACACTTGCCACCTGTGTATGTCATCTGAAGAGTAGTCAGCGCTTCGTGTGTCTGACTGAGCCTCCCCGACCCAGTATCAGTTACAGTTTCATTGAATCAGGTTATTAGTGCTCTGCTACAGCAGCTCATCTCTGCATCTCACTTGAGGACAGGATCTTTGAATCAGAAAAAAATATATACATTCTGAGTGCACAGATATATAATCTCTAAATAATAATTGTCCATATAATTGTTCTCCATGGATATGAATTGTCTAGAATACTGTATAAGAGGAAATCACATGAGGGGGACAGGGCCGGTTTCTGACATTGACTGGAATGTTTCGCTCTCACGTACCTGGAGGGGCTCTCTCCTTTTAGTGTGGACGGTCATCAGCTGGTAGCTGAGCGTGTCAGAGCAGGCTTGTAGGCCCTAACCCGCCAAGATTCCAACCTACTGGGCCAAGAATCTGCCTTTACAATAATGTTGGATGTGAGTTTTACACTGAAAAAGAATTTAGGCTTAAGGAACAAAGTCAGACCCAGACCCCAAACTTCCCTCCCCAAAGCCAGCTGCTGTTTTCTTGTGTTTCCTTCTGGAAATGTCCTGTACACAGATAAGCCACATGAATAACCTTTTTGGTTGTTGTTAACAACTACGCAAATGGCAGCACACTAAACACAGAATTTTGTGGTTTTTTTGGAAATATATATCAAGAACTGTTTGCTAATTTTAGGTATAGATCTATCTTTTCATTTTTAGCTGTTGCACAAATTCCGCTCTATGGTTATAGCATACTTTACTTAAGAGACCCCCATCAGTAGATGTTTAAATTGTTCCCAGTCTTTTATATATGTAATACATTTTTAAAAATCCTTGTTAATGCCTTTGTTTTTATGTAGGAAAATAATTTAGAAATGCAATCTCTGGAGTAAAGGGATTATGCATTTTAAGTGTAACAGCTGGAATAACCACCCCAGGTGATTTTCTCCAAGTGGTTCTATGATCACACTAGAGCAAATCTGCTTCAAGAGCAAGAACCAGACAAATAATCATCCACTACACTTCAGGGGCTTCCTTGGAAGGCCAAGAAGATAGGGATTTTATACAAAAAGTCACTGGCCATCTCTGAAGAGGACACACTTTATTTAGTTGTATGTAAATAAAAATTACTTGGATCTGTGAGGGGAAATGTTATAAAACACATGATAGAAATATACAATGAACCCTTTAGACTACCTTTACAAACTAGATAACATTTTTAACGGGAAAGAACATACACATTGTATTCTTCATAGTGTTTTGCTTATTATCTTGTCAACACGAACACTTTTACTCTATTCTTGTCGACGGGGAATTTCTGGTTTGGCAGAAGTCACCCCTCCCATAAACAAAGTAAATCAACATCAGTTACACCAGCTGCTGGGGCAGGTGTTGTGGTGGGACTGGGCACCGAGATCAAACTTGTGGCTAAGCACCAGTCTCAGGGTGGTGAACACCACCTCTTGCTCCTTGGGTGTGGTCAGAAAATGGAAGTAACAAAGCAATGCAGTCCATTTAAAACACACATTTTCCAATCTAATCCTCACGTTATGGTAAGTAGATGTAAGAGGACTTAAGATTGCCTTCATCAGGGTAGCTGAATTCTTTCACAGCAGATAAAGCTTTAATGACAGCAAATAGCTTTTCATATTGAACCAAATGGAGCATGAGAGGCCATTTATGCTCCATAATAACTGACAGGCAGTTCTCACATCATCGGAGGTCATGTTGAATGTGCACAGCAGCCCACTTCTGGATCTTTCCATTAGCTGCCTCTGATTCTTATTTTCTGTGCGAGGTGCCTTTCATTACACACCCACTCTAGTCTGGTGTCCAACACCAGAGCAGGGCAGACTGGAGAGAAGCAAAGAGGAGACGAATCCATGGAATCACTTGTGAAAAGCTCGGAAGGGGCTCGTGGGATAAGAGACACGAAGAGGAGGCTAAAACTCGACCTGCGCTAAGAGTCTGTGATCCCAGGCCGGGCCTTCCTGCTGCCAAATGTCAGGGATGACTGAGAATGGTCTGTAACTCACGTGAGAGAACTCTGACCCAAGACAATGGCAACAATATGAAAGAATTTTCTTTGTGACGAGCAAATTGTGAGCATCATTGAAATAGTTCTAAAATATATGTAAACAAATAGTCAGAAATTTCAAAATGATTCTGGGAAGGACAGTCTGCCATCTGAGAAAGGTTTAGTTTAGAAAAAATAGAGCTCTCAGGTTGAGGAAGAGTATTACTTGCTGTCGTGAATCACAGCTTCTGTATGAAATCAGTCAAGAGAATTATCTCTGAAAGTGCACCGAGTTCAGGCACACGAATAGTCTGCACTGATCTGTGACTATGTCACATCGCCAGAGGCTTCAAAGAAGGGCTGTACTGACCTCTGCTCCAAGACAGTGAGCCGAGGAGCTGAGCCGGGCCTGCCTCAGACCTTGGGAGTTGGATAGTCTGAATTAGTAGCACGTTTGGCAAAGGCTTTAGTCACTAACTTCATGCGCTAACCAATAATTAGTTCTCTATTTTTGGGTAGGAGAAACTGAAAAACATATTGTAGGCCTCAATGAGGCGTATCAACTAAGACGCCCATGCTGTGAATAACAGTGCTTGAACCATAGCCCTTAGTTTATTGGTTACGTGCAGAAACATCACTTTTATGATGAAAATTCTTCATGTTATGAAGTTATTCAGGTTTTACCTCAAGATTCAGTTTACAACAGGGTAATATTCAATTAGGATTCATAGCAAGTATTTGTTTTTAGAGAAAGATCTATAAAGTGTACTCCCTTGCTGCAGAATCCTTTCATAAAAATATAAACGGTTTCTTTAAGTGTACCAAATATATCACCTTTGAAATTAAGGCTTGCCTTTGTTTCACACCGGTGAATTAATAAAAGATTATAACACTCTCTGAAATCTATCCAGCCTTGTGTTTCAGATGCATTTAGCTATGTAGGTACTTTCCCCAACCTGACAATGAAGTCCTCGCGTTGAAAAGCTTTCGCTCTTTTGTCTTTATTTGAAAAACCGAATCTCAGACGCTAGTCCCAATGGCTGACAAGAGAACACTTTCCAGAGTGTTGGACACAGTGTCTTTCTTTGAAGGATACCGTCACCTCTAGGTCCGACAGGGTCCTTAGAACCTTCCAGCTCCACTTCTCCCTAGACAAAGCAGCTTTGCTTTTGGTGAAGTCGCGACACCGGCATTTACAAGTGCAACACCAGGTCCCTGCGAGCCGTGGGCGCCTCACAGCAGCCATGTGAGGTAGGCATGAGCACAAAGAAACTTACACGACACTACACGTGGGCACCGTCCAGGTATTTTTTTCTAGATTGTTCTATCATTTGAATACATGGCTGAATGAGCAAAAAGAGTATTCCTACCATATAAAGCAAGCCACATATATAGAAGGAAAAATCGTATTTTTGTGTGATGTCATAGATCCACCCTGCAAAACAACAAAGAAGAAATTCAGAGTAATACAGTTGACAAAAGTTGGGAACACAGAGAAAGCCTTTATCGGCACTATAAATACATATTTTTTTAAGATTTACTTATTCATACAGAACTGGGGTACAGGCCAGAGGCTCAGGGGCAGCGAGAGGCTTCACCAGAGACAGAGTGGGGAGCAGAACAGGCAGATCGAAGAAGTCCACTGCTGAAGGGAGCAGTGGGCGGGACAGGAGAGGTCTGCCACGCCATGTGGTCACCTCCGGGGCAGGCGGGGATCGAACTCATGCGGAAGTGGCTTTAGCTTCTCAGTGCTGTGCGCTTTAACCCACTGCGCCACCAGGGAGGACCACTATAAATATTTTTTTTAAATCACTTAAATGTCATTTACTGCCTCAAATCATCTCATCTGGCCACAGTGAAGTCTGGCCCCCTAAGCCAGTATCTCAGTACTGGGGATGGGTGCTTTTCAGCCCTGAAGGTATTTTTTAGGACCCAAGGGAAGCCTCTTCAGCCTTTCAGAACTCAGCTGCCACAAAACCTGTGACAAACAGTGAATCTCATTTTTTTTGCACAAATTTACACAAAAGTGGTTTTGCTACTCATCAAAACTTTTCTAAAGAAGTTTCTAGTAGAAACTGAGTTGAAGACATGAACATCCCTCCATTCTGAAGCATTTAAAGGCAAAGATCTACAAAGGATTAAATTATCCAGGTTTTATAAAATTCACAGTTACAGCCATAAAACTTTAACATTTATCTTCGTAAAACTTTAAGCTACCTACAATACAGCCTTGAGTGCTCACTACATTACTAGGTCCTTCAAATAATATTTCAATATTATCATTTAGTGCTTTCATATAGTAATCTTACTACATGTGCTGCAAAATACTGCCTATGTATGTCATAGAGTCTCAGATACCATGACTGACATGACACCTCATTATCTTAAGTCTCTATAAAACCTTGTTGGGTAAAAATATGGCTCAATATTTTCTTAGGACTTTGCAAAATGCATTCAAGTTTAGAGATGTTAAAGTAACCCAAGACAGAACACACATCACAGTCATGTGTGAAAAACTATGAACTATATTTTTTTTTGTTTACTTTAGTGAATAATTCTAAAAATCAGTCATGTTATGGTCCCCACATAGCCAACTCTGTGAACTGAAGGATTAAAGCATGTAAGAATTTTATGTATGACAAAAATGCAAATTTTAAGCACTCACTTTTTCCATTTCAACAAGGGCACCAATTAGCAAGTACGAAAGGAAAATATGAGTTAATGACCAAATATAGTATTCCACGGTCACTTTCCAAAAGTATCTTTAAAAAATACTTAAGTGGTAAGTGGATATGTAATTGCAACTTAAGTTTCTCCCCCAACAGCTGAACCAAAGCAGTCCCTAAATGTGTAAATCAATACCTCTGACTTATTGGTTTGCTTATTGCATAAAGTCTTTATAGTGGCTAGTGAGTAATTAAAGTGCCGTATCAGTCAAGGTTATCATGAAGAAAAACAAACACTTAATAACATTAAAAATCATAATTTTCCCAACCACTCAAAAGCTATAGATTCTGGGTATATTTTAAAAGTTAACCAACTGTTTGGGTTTGTCATTTGATAGAAACATTAAAAAGAAGATCGTATCAGACTTTTAGTTGTGGGGCAGTATAGTGCTGTTTTCTTTCTCTCCGGTTTGAGATAAAATGAGATTAAATATAGACCCCAAACACCATGACTCAGCTTCAGAACTGAATCAGAGACACTAACACTGTCAGAGCAACAGAAATGCACCCAATTTCCCCTCAGGGGAAGGACATGCTTGCAGACAACATGGCGGCTTGCAGACTATATGGCGGCCTGCAGCTCGCGGAGTTGGTGATGAGCTGCCATTAAAAGGAAATATAGGGCCCTGCCTGGTGGCGCAGTGGGGTAATAAAGCACAGCACTAGTGACGCTATCGCAGCCCCTGAAGCACAAGTTGGACCCCTGGCCAGAGGGGTGACCCACATGGCACAGCAGACCTCTCCTGACCCCGCCACGGCTCCCCTCAGCAGTAGATTTCAGTCAGGCTGCATTTTCTGCTCCCCACTCTGTCTGGTGAATCCTCTCACCCTCTGTACCTCTGGCCTATACCCCAGTTCTGTATGCATATATAAATAAAGCTTTAAAAACAAGAAAAGTAAATATACATGAAGCTCTCACATTCCTCTCACCCCTATGAAAACTGACCTTGTCATTTAATAGTCAAATCCTCTCTTTCACATATCAGTGATTGCAAGTAGAAATGATGATTAATTGGAAATTAATTTGCATTTAGTTCCAACTATTATTTTGTTTGAAGCACCAAGGCACTGTGATGTGGGCTCTCCCCACCTTCCTTCCCTGTCACCCCAAACTTACAGGAGCACAAGCCAGATTGAATTTCTTGGAATTTCTCTTGGCTCCTGTTCTGTATATGAACTATGAACTCGTCCCCCTTCTGGGGGAGGGAAATAAACACTACCACCCTTAGAATTCCCTGTCATTCCCTCCCCTCCCCTTTATCCACTCTCAGACTACAGAAAATGTCTGCTAAGTATACTACATATCATTGCTCTTTTAAATTGAATTCCTTACATTAAAAAATTTTGCATCTTAAATTGAGGCAATCAGAAGAGGAAGGTGGCAGGTTGAACATTGGGAAGGGAAGGGAGGTGTCCGAGAGAGCATGTGGAAGATTTCTGGGTCTTTGGGGGTGGGCATGGTGTGACTTATAACATGTGTAGAGTTCTGAATCATAACCCCTAAAACGAATAGAATGATGTTAACCAATTTTACTTCAATAGACATTACTGGAAGGCAAACACTTAAATATCTTATATAGGAAGAAAAAAAAAAAAAAACAGAAAAAGGAATAAAAATTGGAACCCAATGTAATCTTCTGACCTTGAAAGCTACAAGATAGTAAATCTATATTCTAAGGCAGTAGTTTGTGGCAATTCATTGGAGAGGGATCGGAAACATGATCCAGCCCACAGGGGTGTCTTGGGCCTGTACACAGTGTTTTGAAAATCTTGGAAATATCACCGACGAGTCCAGAGTCTTGGTTTCCCTTGTGGGAAGAGGGGGGTGTTTGGGGGAACACCCCTTAAAAATAGAAGCTCTGGAAACACACAGTTCTCTGTGTTAACTGGGGCAGAAATAACCAGGCTCTGGGAGTGACTTGTCTCCTTGACACAGCTCTGCTCTGCTCCTGATCACTCACCCGCCTGGCTGCTTTATCTGAAAGACTGGGATCAAAAGTTCATCCATAGTCTACATGAAAGATGACCTTTAAATATTAAAAATAGATCCACCATATGATCCAGCAATTTCACTGCTGGGTATTTGTTCAAAGAATATAAAAACAGTAATTCAAAAAGCTACCCATCCCCTATGTTCACGGCAGCGCTGTCTACAATAGCTAAGATCTGGAAATAACCTATGTGCCCCTCAGCAGGTGAGAGGACGAAGCGCCCGCGGTGAAAACACACCTGCAATGCTATGCTAAAGCCACAAAAAAGATGACACCGTGTCACTGGCCACAAAGTGGGTGGAACTGCAGTGATGATGCCGATTTATTATGTTGGAGCTCTCACTTCAGAAGGTTACACTGGGTTCCAGCGCTTGCTTCTTTTTTCTGTCTTTTTCCTATATAAGATATTTAAAATGAAGGCCATTCACAGGTGCAACATAAGAAGCAAAGCAAAGGGCCAGACCCAAGCAAGCCTGCACACATCTTTGGAATCAGAGGACAAAAGTGAGGCTACCACAGGGAAAATTTGGAGCATGCAATAGCGAAAAGAGGGCGCAGTGGACTGTGGGAGAGGACGGCTAGTGCCTTGAGGGTGGCGGTGGGGCGGCAGCATCCATCAGAGAGGCGTGAACCTGTCCCCCGAAGTCATACACAGTGTTGTAAACCACGGTTACCTCACTGAACAACACATTATAGATACTTTTAAAAGACCTTTAACATGGCCCTCCCTGGTGGCGCAGCG